TTTTGCCTTACCTGCTACAATTAAGCTATTGTTTTTTTTAGGAAAGTGGCCTGGCTTAATTCAGGTTTGTGCCTCAGAGTAAACTGAAATGATTAATAGCTCTGTGTGTGCCTAATGATGTGAGCCCTGCAGCCACTAAAGCACCTGTCTCAGTGTGTAACCAGCCTGGGCTCCCCATGGTGCGTTGCTGCAGATTCACATAACAAAAAAGGCAATTAGACAATGTTTGGGATTTGAATTTAACTAACAATGCAGGGAAATTGCCAGGGAAGGATTAGTTATCTCTTGCCTGATAAAAACAGGTATCACTGGAAAACTTTTTAATTGTCCTTCCATAGCAGCTCCATATGGAAAGTTTTATGTCTAATGAAGACTGTCAGGGTTAAGCTCTGAAAACAAAGATCTGGAAAGCTGAAAGTGTTCTTAAATTAGCATTTCTGCTACCTTCTTAGATCAGTCCTAAATCTGCCAGTTGCTGCTAGTTTTGGCTGTGCCTCTAACGGCAATCTGTTGTGTCCAAACAGAAAATTCTCCACAACTCCAGCATCATTTTGTGGTCTGAAAATGACTCCAAAAGGATGATCTGCAGCATCTGGATTTTGAAAGAGCTTAATAATATTATAAAATTAATAGTACTGCCTTATTGTGAGTCTTAGAAGGTATAGAAGTTCTTTCTTGTGTGTGTCCTGTAAGACACTGTGCATATCTCTGACTTGTGCTGGTCCTTCTGGCCGGACAGCTGCTCTGTGTGTGTGGTGATTGGTTTTGAAATTTGCTCCATCAGCTGCTGCACACTGCAGCTTTCTCTGCTGGTTGGTTATTTTGATCAGTTGTGAGAGCAATGGGCTGGCTGGCTGATTGCTGAGGTGTTCCTCCTGGCCGGGTGACAGGCTTGCTGGCTGACCCCGGCCAACTGGCTTTAACTCCAGTGGGGGATAGCTGCTAATATTTTCCAAGGCATCTAGGTGATTTAGGAGCCCATGGCTCACCCTGAAAGCAGTTGATGCATTTGGAAAATGTTACTCTATTAAACTCACCCCAAAGGGATATAGTGGGGGCTAATTTATGTTTGCAAGAGAGCTTGGGGTCTTGGATTCCTGTGATGTGAATATCTTGCACTCTCCTCTTCATACAGAGGCAAACAAGATCCATTCCTGTGGTTGCTTCCCCAGACAGTCAGGCTGTGCTAAAACTACATCTGCTGATAAGAAAGCAACTTCCAGATAAATCATATAGGCAGGTCTCTGAAGCCTAGAAATAAGAACTTCTGGCTCCAATAAGAAAAGCCTGGCTTCCCAGCCTAAGGAAGGCTGCCTACTGCTCTGGTAGCAATCAATCCATCGCCCTTCCTGTGGCACTGCCAACTGTGACTACACGACAAAGGCTGTCAGAGCTGTAGGTTTGGTGAGGATGGCAGTGGGCTGCCGAGCAGCCAAAGGCAAGCTGCTCTGCTGGCTGCAGGGGGGATGTTCTTGTCCCAGCAGGCACCCAGGGGACAATGTGGTGGTCCTTTTCTGAGACTTGGTAGCTCTGCTCTTGGTTGATGCCCTTGATGGCTGAAGAGAGGTAGAGACATCTGAAAGAGGGTTGAGAGAGGGGCTTCAGGGCTCAAGATTGGAGCACAAAGGGTTATAACAACAGGGAGATGTGATGGAGACCTGGTCACCAAGGGAATGTGTTTTCTACCTGTTTGTTCTTCATTCTTGCTCACCTATTCCTTAAATATCTTTATATTCTCCTGTTGCAGAACAGGTATAGTGGCCTGAGCCATCCAGCATGTGTCTGTGATGCTCCTTGTGGCATCTAACTGCCCTTGTGTCCTCAGAGAAAATCATTAGTTAAATTTACATGTCTCTTGCTGGATTTTCTGCATGGGTCTTTTTAAGTCTTGAGCCGGTCATTAGGATTTTTGTGGCTTGTGTGTAGTAATACTGCATGAGCTCTTTAATAAACCATTCTGAGGGCAAAAGTGTGTGTATGGGAGGGTAAGAGAGGGGCTGGGTGGCTTCTCTGTGAGCATCTGAAGTGAATGAGAAGTGAGGGAGAAAACAAAGGATTAAGAAATAGTTAAAGGATAAAGAGAACTATTAATAAGAAAGAAAAGAAAATACTGACAGATATTGCTGATGGGTTTTAAATTTGAATTTGGGCAGACATTTTTTTTACACACTTGAGGGGAAGAAGTTGGAGGCAGCCTTGGTTACTGTTATGCTTTCAAATTATAATCTAAGTGCTGCCTTGATTATACATCATTCTGATTGCTGTGGTCTAGTGATTAGAGCATAAAATTTGGAGAAAAAATACTCTGTTTTTCTTGACTGTAAAAGACTTGCTGGGTGGTTTTGAATGAGTTATTTCAATTCACTGTGCCTCATTTTCCTGATCTGCAAAAGAAGGATATTAACGCCTATTTTTGTGAAGGCAGTCTGAGAAACTAAATGGAAAATTCTGTATAAATGTCAAGTGTCATTATTATTGTTCTTTAACTAATCCATTGTAGTCAGATGCTTTTACAGTTTTTATGAAAGCAAATACAATGGAAGCTACATAATTGGCTGCATAAAAACATTGTTTTATTTAGAAAAAGACAAAAAAGTTTTTAAAAAAATGCAGCAGTGGATTGCCTTTTTTCATCAATTCATCAATTGCAAAAAGACTTTGTTAGGAGTGAACTATACCAGGTAATAAAGTTACTCTGAAGTATATGTGACATGATTATGAGAAGTAACAGGCTCTGATAATTTTTGTTATATGTTTGGTTCACTATTTTCCTGGCACAAAGATTTTCAGTTATTTTTGAGCAAGTAAGAGTAAAAATTTACGTGTTTAATTCTTTGCCAATATCTGAGAGGTGAAGTTTCCTCAGGCTGTGACTTTAAACTCCCAATTTTCAGTTGAATAGATTGCAGTGTCTGGCTTTTACACCACTAGAAGCTGTACAACAAACATTGACACTTCTTGGTGAGGCAGATATGACCCATTTTTAAATACAATACTGTTAGAACAAGGTAATGGAACTTTGTGAAAAGGTGAATCCCATTACTTTTCACATTTGCCTAAATCCTGTTTGTCTGAAAGGTAATCCTATCCCTGTCAATTCACCTCAAGAGTGGACAGTCCCAGTGATTCAACCAAGGGCAGAAGGCTTTATCAGCAGGGCATCTGTATGGCAGGGTGTTCTTAATCCAGGACGTTGATTATACTAGCAAAATTGAATGTTTGCCAGTTAACTTTGTTCTCCTTCTCTTGAATTTGTCCTGATATGAACAGGATTTTGCCGGTGTAACTGTGTTTATGTTGTGATAGAGGAAGGGGAATGTGGTATGAGGTTTTTCTTTAAGACAGGGCACTTTTGATCATAGGTGGTATGTCTTTATACATTTAAGTAATTTGGCAAAAGTCTGTTATATGGTCTTGGCCTTAACATGACCCCAGAGTGAGCAACTTGTGACCTGTCTGTCCTCATCAGCATCAGTACTGCTGCCTTCTAGGACAGCCCAATTAAGATAATTTTATGGCTGCTGTAGCACAACTTAGTATCTGTAAGGCAGGCTATGTGCAACAGTCCTGGCTGTTCATTTTCAGTCCCCAGTGACTGCATTGCAACAACCTCCTCCTCTTCAAAGCACTTTCCTCCGTGGGGCACACATGCCTGTTTTCTGCAGGTTCATCTTCACACAGCTCCTCTGTTATCTGTGAGCTTGTTCCCTCTAAACCCAAGGCTGTTCAGGTACAGGCATTACATCATATGCTGAGCAGAATGGGTAGAGTGATAAAACACCTGGATGCAAATGGCTCTGTAAGATGATGGACAGAGTGCTAGTGTTAAAATAATTACACCATAACATGAAAAGAGTTAAATCTGTTTCCTGGTAAGACAGGTTCATTCAGAAGAAAGGTTTTAATGACATTTCAGCAAGGTATTGGCCTTTAAATACAGATACCATTCCACAATATAATTAAGAGCCAGTTTGAAGTGGGAATTTTGTTTGGTGGTTCGTTACTTTTTTCCCTTGGTAAAATTTTTAAAAAATTCTTGTACTTTTGAGGACATTTATGAGTATTGCTCTTTTCTTGCATGGTCAGCATCCTACCACAGTTTGTATCAGGCGTAATGAATACATTAAGACTGTGGGAGAGGGTAAATAACTAATTTTTTCTGAAACAATGTACATGTTGGATCTTTTCTTTTCATCTTTTGATCCTGATGATGAAAAATAACACTAACTTTATGAAAATAATGTGATTTTTTTACTTTACAGAAGAGTCTAGTATTGGATTTGTATTCTGTCAGTGAAGAGTTAACACAAAATGTTCTTGGGAATATGGTACTGCTCATCCTGTCAGTGAAGCTAAGAAGAATTTTCTATGTGTAACAGCACTGGGAAGCAAGACTATTTTTCAGGGTAAGTACAATAAAATTCAGGCAATACTCCTCATCAGAAAACATTTGTAAGAAAAATGCTGAAAAACATTCATTTAGTTACACTATTAGGTATCTTTTATTTTCTTTCTCAATAAGTATAGTGAGTGTACATACACACAAAAAATGCCTTGCTCTACCATTATTCTGAATTGCAAGCTGCAAATGACATTTTTCTCCTTAATATGTCTTTTTCAAGAAGTGGAAAGATGGATTTGATTTTTAAGACAGTGGTCTCATTGCAATTCCATGTCAGGAAAGTCCTCTGAGAAGATGAGAAAATGCAGGCAGTCGAACAAAGGAGCCACAGAAAAGAAGCCTCATCTCCAAGCGCTCAACAGACACACATTAAAATGAGCTGACTGAACCTCAGTCCTGTGTCTTGTGGGCTCATCTGCAGGGAAATGAGGTCCACTACAGACTTTCTGACTGCAGCACTAGAGGCTTCCTTGTGCTTTTCTACTGGCCACTTAGGGTGGAATGACAAATTCTGCTTTGCCATGACAAAGTCCAGTTGGACATCTTTCTCCCAGTTCTCCCAAAATGGATTAAAGTGAATACAGACAGAGACAATGAGTAAACTATGATGTAAAGTTTATATACAAGAATATAACATTTATCTGGAGTATTTACAAGGTTAATTAAAGCAATATTTTACAACTCTTTCAGATTAACCACTAGGTATATTACAGTTAAGCTACAGATGGTTTAATTTGCAAAATAATTAAAAAAAAAAAGTTGCATTCAGATCAACCAGCTCCAAAAACTTGTTCTTTTTTTTTTTTTTTTTTTTCCTTTTCTGAGAGAGAAGGGCTCAGACTCGTGGACAATACAATGTGAGAATGGTTAATATGCTCTTACTGGTGCCTATGTATCACATGCAAGAGTCATAAGGTGACCTTTACAGCGTTAATGGGGACGGGAGGCCGTGTCACCTCAGCGGAAGCGCCGTGCCCGCGGTGACAGGCCAGCCGCACGCTCGGCTTTCTCTGCGTCTCCTGCTGTGGCACAACAAACATGCACGCACACAGAGAAGCAGCAATATAAATGAACCAGCATTACCGAAACGAAGAGGGAAAGACCTCAGACCAAAGTCACGTTTGCAACCATACAAAACCCCAAGCTTTAAGCGAGATACTTTAATACTTCCCAAAAATAGTCATTATTTTTGTTTTATTACATTTTAACCTATGTACAAAAACGGAGGGGTTCTTCCCCTCTCGGGCAGCTGTTTCTCGTGCCCACGGCATCTCGAGGCTCACAGGGGCCAGAGCAGGAAGGAGCTGGAGGCCCAGAGAGCTTGGGACAGGGGTGGCTGCTGGAGGACAGCCAGAGCCGACGCCACTAACACTGCAGTTTGCGGATGCTGCGGGAGAAGCGCTTGAAAGCCCGCTGCCCTTTCTGCCACCGCTTCAGAGAGGTGATCACCAGTTCCCCAGCTTGCTTCTGCCCCATCACCAAGTAGGGGACGTTGATGTCGTTCATCTCATCGCAGGTACACTGGAGGCCACCTTTGAGCCAGAGCACTATCTTCCTCAGATCTCTTTCTGTCAGCCCATTCAGCTTGTAGATGGTTTTACTCTTTGTTTCAGGGGTGATCTTGGTATCCCCATTGATGTAGGCAATCTCCTTCACTTTTATCTTCAAGGCTAATAGAGCGAGAGGAGGGGGAAGTGGGGAGAGGGAGAGAGATTGAGAGGTTTTTTTCCCATTAGTGCACATAAAGAGGACCTGGGGAGGGAGGTGCTCTATTGCTAATTAAACTGTCAGGGCTGACAGAAGAGGCAGCAGGTGGCTCCATTTCTAAAGCCACAAAGGGCATGCAAGTCATTTCAGTTTGAATCAACCTTAGGGTTGAGGTTTTTTGGATTTCTTTTCTCCTCTTCCCCTCCCCCTCTTTTCCCTTCCTTTCTAAATTAATATTTTTTCCAGCTTTTCTCCTGTTTGCAACAGAGAGAGGGCAGGTTTGCTACACTAAGCAGAGCACCATTTTTTTTTTTCTGGGAGAGGGCAGCCTTCCTGAAAGTAGTGTTTGAAGGGGAGATGGGGAGGTGGGGAGGCAAGTACCTAGACCTAATCTGAAACCTGATCTCTGCTGCAGCTCAAAACTTCTACACTTAATTTATTAGGCTGGAGAGGATTTTAGGCAAACCTGTAAGGAAATGATATTTCACATGCATTGTTTTTTTGAAAGAATAGATCCCATGGAGGGCAAATTGGTCCAACAGCTGCATTCGATTTGGTAAAATAACTAGGAGGGGGTTACAGGGCTCTGTAAGGAGCTGTAGGGCATGTGTAGCTTTAGGAGGATTTATCTGAGTGCAATTTGCCAGGCCAAAACTATTGATTGTTTTAGCAATTATGTCCCACAATCATAGTTTCAGGTTTTGGGTGGGATTTTGTTTTCTTTTTTTTAAAGAAAGACTTTTGAATTGTTGTAGATACTTATACTACAAATCTGTTTCCAGGTATTAAACACTGACCTATTGTAAAAGGATTCTCCTCCTTATTCCCTTTAGCTCTTGAAATGCTAATGTGTGGATAATGTGTCCTTCAGTTGTCTGTGTTGAAGGGGCTTTCTTGTCCTCTTCTAACCCCAGATCTTCCCATTAAGTTTATATCCCCAATTGTCTGTGCATTACCTTCTCTGTCAAATGATATATAGAGCTTCATTCTTAATCTGCAGAGAGAGTCTTTCTTACGATACACTGAGATTGGTCATGCGGCTCTGTCTCAAACATCTAAATGAAGCTTTGCTCTACTTCTCCCCAGGCAATAGTCTGCATGAAAGATTCTCTCTCTTTTTTTTTTTTCCCCCCCTCCTCATTTTACTTTCTATTGGGTTTGCCAGCAACATCCACATAAAAGAGCACTACTTCAAAACAGTAAACAGAAAAGAATGATAAAAAGGGTTACTTTGGTTTTTACTCCAAGGTGGAATTTTGTGTTTCTTGACCCGACAGTCAAAGCCCTGCCTTTATTCAGGCACATCTCTTACTGACTCCACTGGGAGCTGTACCTGATCCTCGACTCTCAAGTTTCAAGCGAGAGGAGCTCTGCTTCCACTTACCAAAGTCGTTTTTGCAGAGATTTTCCACGATGTCATTATCATCTTCATTTTTGTTTTTGCAGGCATCACAGACCTTGGGTGCTGCAAATGCAAGCAACAGTCCCCGTCAGACCCGGGGAGAAAGGAACAGCAGGTGGCGTTGGGAACCCTTTGGGAAACACCAGCTTTCCATCCCTTGGCCCCAGAGCCTGCTCCTTCTCCCCCCAGCCCCGAAGCTGCCCGAGCACTTTGTCCCGCCTTCTCCTGCGGCAGACCCGCTACAGGGGTCACGGTGGACTTTTAAGGTCACGCCTCAACCAAAAGTTTTTGTTTTAGCGGGTAAAAAAGTACAAGGGGAGTGGGGAGGGGGGTCGAAACACGACACCGAGCCCCCCAGCTCCGCGCTACAGCGACGACTCTTGTACAAGGCTCTGGCGCCGAATCCCGGACATTTGCTTTGAGGATGGAGATGGGTGCAGGCCGATGACAGTTCCCCGACGGTGCCTGCGGGTTCCCCGGCCCCCTTGGAAAAGCCTCCCTGAGCCTGGTCTGCGGCCACCTCCCCGGTCCCCCCGTCCCGGAGCGTGCTGCAGCTGAAGGCACTCGCCTTCGCTCCCCCTGGACAGCCGCGGAGGGACCCCGCTGTCGGGGCTCCTCACCGGGGCAGATGCTGCCGGTCCGGGGGCGACCCGGCCGCTCCCTCTTACCTTCCCTGGTGACGGGGAGGATGTGGTCGCTGCTGGCCAGCGGGATGCAGAGGTCGTTGTCCTTGGGGAAGCGGCTGCAGTCCAGCATGTCGGGCCAGGGGAAGCCGAAAGCGGACATCACCGGGGCGCAGCTCTCCTTCACCTCCTCGCACAGCGAGTGGCAGGGCTGGATGATCTCGTCCAGGTCGTCGATGCAGACGGGGGCAAAGAGGGAGCACAGGAACTTCCTGGTGTCGGGGTGGCACTGCTTCTGCACCAGAGGGATCCAGGTGGACGCCTGCTCCAGCACCTCCTGCACCGTCTCATGCCCCAGCAGGTTGGGCAGCCGCATGCTCTGGTACTCGATGCCCCGGCACAGCAGCATCGGGGCGGGGATGGGCTTGCAGTTGGAGCGCTTGTAGGAGAAGTCGGGCTCCCCGAAGGGGAAGAGCCCGGCGGCCGAGCCCATGCACTGGGACGCCAGCAGGAGCAGGGCGCAGAGGCGGCGCTGCATTTTGGGGCGCGGAGGAGGTGGAGGGGGGGCTGGCGAAAGGCTCGGGGGGCCGGGGTGACGGGGCGGGCGGCGCGACGCTACCTCAGCCGCAGGCAGCGTCCCCCAGCCCGGACTCCTGCTGCCAGGCGGGGACGGAGAGTCTGAGCGAGATGCTGGGGCAAACGGGAGTTTTCTGGATTTTTTTGTATGCAAATAGCAGGGGGAGCGGGGGCTGGGAGGAGCTTGGTGACAGCCATCCAGAAAGGATTGGTCACTACTTTCTCGGTCTGCTTTTGCTCAGGGGGATTGTCTTTTGGCAGGAAATCTTTGGAAGGAACATTACCGTGCGAGCACGGAGAAGGAGGGAAAGATCCCGGCGAACAAAGAACCCCGAGGAGCTCCTGTGCCGGGCAGGGGCGGCGGGGAGCTGGAGGTGAGCTCTGCCTCTGGCACAGCTGCTCCGCGCTCCCCCGGCACCCCCTGCCCACGTTTGGAGTTCTCGCTGCCAGCGCACGGGAGATGTGGCCGGGCCGGTTCCCAGGCACGGGGCGAGGCTGGCGGCTCCCTCATCCCCCGGGGGTGTCTGGCACCTCCGGCCCCTCCCTGCGATGCTGGCAGGGATCGCCGCGGGGCTGGAGCCGCAGGCAGCATCTGGGAGCTGCCGGCACTCCCGGCCCCGCTCCGGCTCGGCAGCGCCCAGCCCTGGGGGCTGCCAGGCGGGGCCCTCCTGCTGCCCCCAGCCCCTCCTGCCCCTGGCTGTCCCCTGCCAGGAGCGGGGGCCTGCCGCCCCTGGATGGCCCCCGACTGGCAGTGGGGGATTTCCCCGAGTGGGAGAAGCCAAGCGCTTTCGAAATACTAGCACGTTTTTCTGAGGCTAAAAGCGCGGGCCTGGCTCCGTGCAGAGCAGGCACATCCCTTTCCCTTCACTCCTTCTTCTAGAAACTCCCTTAAAAAATTGTGTTCACCTAGAAACTCCCTTAAAAAATTGTGTTTGTGTTGATTTAACACCAAGGGGAAGACAACAGGCAAGGCGCTGGAATCACAACTCAGCTTCAGTGTGCTTTGGATAATTCTTGGATTTTTAGTAATACTATTTATGGGATTATTATTGAAAAGAGTAGGCCTGTGTAGTATCATTTTGTGGTAAACCACATTCATTAATCAGCTACTGAATATTTTTCCTTATAGAGATGTTTTATGGGAAGCTAGCCTCAGCCATGTTGACTTCTGTAAATTGCAGGATCCCTGTACATCCAATTTCCCTCTGGGCTTCCCAGAGATGTGACTCATTGCTTGTGGCATAGGAAGGAGATGGGACCTGCAGCATTCCCACCAGGAAGGCACAGGTCTGCCATGCTGGAATGGCTGCAGCTGCCCCAGGCAAACTGGTGTCACATGGTGAAGCCAGTGCCAGCTCTTTCAGTGAGATTCCAAGATCCCTTCCAGTCGGCCAAGTTGATGAATGTAATCTCCCTGTAGGGCAGCTTCTCTCCTGAAGCTGATACCTGGAAAATAAATATCCTGAATGTCTAGTATCACTTGTGGTAAGGCTTAAAAGTAGTTTATTTCTTACAGCACCACATGTTCTTGCCATTAATTACTTTTAAACAGAGCACATGTAAGCTGCTGGCCTCAGCTGCCTTCCATAGGACTGAGCCCCACTGATGGCTTATGGTGCCCATTTTAAGCCTAGTTTACCAAGTACCAGAGGCTGTAGGCTTTGTCACTTGTCAGGAATATCTCTTCCAGCTCCTATGCTTGTTCTACAAGCCTCTGTCCCTAAACTCCTCTTTAGTGGAAGGAAATCTACCAACAGGTTTGCGCTTTGTTCTCTGAAAGGTCGGGCTATCCACCAGGTCTTTGTAAAATGGGCAAGTTTGTGGTTTGTTTTTCTCTCTCCATTTTTTCCTGCTGCTTCTCATTTTTTTTTGAGTCATTGATATCCCTTAAGGTGGATTTCAGCATGACTGGAAGAAAATTTGCCTGCTCCATAAATTCCCTGTGTGCTATTTTCCACGGATAGGCTATGTGGAAGCAAAGACCTAAATCTGAGCAGACTGTTTAGACTAGAGATAACCACCCTTCTCTGTGGTGGAGGATGAAACACTTCTGCCAGAAACCTGCTCATTCTTTTCACCAGAATTGTTTGCTTGTTTGTTTCTAGCCCACAGGAAATAAGCAGAAAAACCACACGTTTTCCTGGATTAAGCTTTGATTTGAAACAAGGTTTTATTGAGACCTTATTATTTCCATTTCTAATGACCCCCGGTGAACTCATTTACTCGAAGTTTGAAATGACCCGAGACCACGTAAACAAAACCAACCCACGCCTGCAAACCCGAGCAACCCTTGGTGTCCTCGTTCTGATCCCTTGCAGGTGAAAGCGCCAGAGGCGAGGCTGCCGTCAGTGCTCCTCGCTGCCAGTTCCCAGCCCGCGCAGCCGAATGCTGCTCGCCGTGACTAAAGGGCAGCAGTGCCCGGTCACCACCAGCCCAGCCGCCTTCCCAGGCTGCGGGTGATGCTCGCCCGGGCCCGCACGGCGCTGCGGGGCTGTTCCGGCTGCCCCGGTGCCGCTGCCCCGGCTGTCGGGGCGGAGCGGCGCGGGGGATGTGCCCGGCTCGGCCCGGGGGATGTGCCCGGCTCGGCCCGGGAGCGTTCCCGGGGCTGCCCGCGGGGGTGTCCCGCCGCACGCGCTCGGGCCAATAAACATCCCCTGCCTCCCGCTAATTGGGAACGGAACTAAGGAATGGTGCCGCCCCTCCGGGCCCCGGGCGTTCAACCCCGCCCCGCCTCTCCCTTCCAGCACAGGTGCGGGGCCCGCTGCTGCCAGGTAAGGCGCTGGCATCCACCTCCCACCAAAACCATCCCGGGCGACCCGGTCCGACCTGGCAGGAGCCAAGCGGGACTGCAGTCCTAAAACACAAAGATGTTTTAAGGTATACTTTTTTTTTTTTTTTTTTTAAAGTATATAATTTTTTTTAAAAATTTACAGAGCTATTCTGCCCTTCTCTCTGCTTTTGTCACATTGCTGTAGTGCTACAATGACTTCTCTCAGTTTGTCCATTCTTTTTTTTTTTTTTTTTTTAAATGTATTAAGATGTTTTTTAAAAATTGTTTTAAAGGCAGCATAGACTTTTGAGCACCCGTAAATGTATCAAATGCCATGGATAGTTAAGCCACTTTAAAGCCCTGAAAGTAGCATAAGCGTTTAAGCCACTTTAGAGGTTTAAATCTGTATAAGCTGTTAAAACGCCTTTAATCCTCAAGTGCTTAAATCACCTTAAATCCTGGGAGTTAGGTGAGAGAATGAGCTGCCTTGAAAGAAAGAACCTCAGCTCCAGTTCCCCCCAGCCTCAGTTACCTGATGGAAGGTGGTGAAAATGAATGAACTGTGGGGAAAACGGCTGGAGTCCTTGGAACTTGCACGGAGTTCAGTGTAGTTGTGTTCTAAGGAGTGTGTCTGTTCTGTGCTCTCTAAGTAAAAACAGCGGTGCTTCTTCCCCTGGTTTTCAAGGCTTGATAAGAATTATGAACTTCTGTACGTTTTTTTTGACCAGTTCTGAAAGGTAAGATGTGGAAGGGGGAAAATGTATTGACACTTGCCTGTCTGCTAAAGAATAGGCAACACACTTGCTTTAACACAGGCAGCAATAAGAGTATGAATTTGTTAATTTGTGTCATACTTTTCCATATCTTCTGCTTTGGAATCACTCAGTCCCTTACCTGGCTATGTGCCGTATGTGGAAACCTCTTTGCTTCTCCTTTCCCCAACTCTATGAGGTACTTTGGTGATGTGACGAGCTTTGAGGCAAAAGCTGCTGTCACTGCCAGCCTGAGCCTCACATTCCTTTGTCACAGACCTGAAGGTGTCATTGTCCTTTTGGGTTGCAGAATCATGGGATAATTGTGGCTGGAGGGAACTTCTGGAGACCATTTAGTCCAAGTCAGTGCTCCAAGTTCTGGGTTTAGCCAGGTGGCTTGCAGTCTGACACTCCTGAGACCTCTCTGGGATGCCTGCACCCTCACCTGCAAGGCTTAGTTCCAGGCTGTGTCTCCACCCCTCTCCCCTTCCTGGAGAAAAGACTGAGCTTTCAGCTCCTGGGCAGTCTCCAGATTGGTTTCTCTTGGTGGGAGATGGTGAGACTAGGATGGATGATTTGCAACTTTGAGAGCAGTGATTTGCAAAGGGAGGCACGGATGCATGGAGGGCAGCCAAGCCTTACCTGGCACAAAGCACCCACCTTCCCCAAATGTCTGGGTGATGCTTTCACCCCTGAACCGAGTCCAGCCCCACTGGCTGGTGAGAGTAGCCAGGCCAAGCAGATTAGGGGAATACTGACCTCAGGGGCTTCCTAAGCAAAAAAATTGGAGCTTGAGAACTTGCCCTTAACATTGTAGAGGAACAAAAAACCTGAGGCTTTTTAGCTCATTCTCTTCAGCTCATAAAAAGGCAGTGATGAGGACAAAACTGGTTTTCTCATCACGATGAAAACATCTGAAGAAAATTTCTGCTTACCTTTTAAAATGGTCTCCAACATCACACTACAGAAATAGTATTACTATTTGAATCTCATAGTTGAATTTGACAGGAAAAAAAATAGGATTGCATAGATTTTGATGTGAGGCAGCTCAGCAGCAGATCCCTCCTGGTGCTGTTTCAGTGGCTGATAAGGTGGAATTTAACATTTTCCAGATCCGGACTGGGCAGCAATCTTTGTTTTCTGTTGCCACAACATTTAAAAGTTCCATTGTCAAAACCTGCACGTGCTGTAGCTATATCTTCCCCTCTTCCCCCCCGGTCTTTGGAAGGAGCCCTTAAAAAATAAATTATCCTTTTCTTTGCTTTCCATTTGGAATGCTCACTGAAAATGAGCGGCGAGCGTGCTCGAAAGGTGCTGAGGATGTGCCCGAGCAGCACAGGGGGAAAATCTTCCTTGGGCGGCGGCAGAAGAACCTCTTGGTGGCGCTTGTGCACACTGTGTGGTGTTTCCTTTGCCCAGTGACACGGGGTACCGATCTTCCCCTGGAAACACCATGCTCTGTATTCCTGCTCGCTGCCCTTCTTCTCTAGAAACTCTGTTTGGGGACTGGAACTCCAGGCCATCTTTAGTCAGGGTTTGCTGTCATGGGAGGAAAAGATCAAATTGAGGCTGATTA